AAGTAAGTAAGTAAGTAAGTAAGTAAGTAAGTAAGTAAGTACATGTAATACAACTACGTCTCTGTCTTTCCCCCAGAGTAGAGTTACTTAAAAATGAGGGAATATCAACAATAGAAACTGAAAATAATAATGTTTGTCCATTTTTGGGGGGTTTAAATATAGACTTTTACATGTATCTAAACCTAGGTAGCGGTTGGTTGGCGGATGCTCTGGTGTGGTTTGCTTCTTCTTTCCTATCAAACATCTATCGTCTTTATCATCTCTCCTCCTTCTTTTTTGTATTTCCTTGTAACACCTCTAATCGTCGTCACTTATATGACCTTACAGTGCCATTAAAACTCTTATATGGGGTGCCCACTACAGCTGGATCGGGCCGATCGCCCGACTCGATCGCCTGAAACTGATATCAAACACGTTTGTTTTTGAGGCGATCGAGTCGGGTGATCGGCCCGATCCAGCTATAGTGGGCACCCCGTGTTACTAGAAGTTTGTTCGAGAAACAGGGTGTGCAGAGATAAAAACAATGGCCACGATACTGTGCACTGGGGGTTCTTGTTTTTTAAATATATTTTATTGCGCTCTTTTTTCCCCTCGTATTTCGCCTATTTTGTTTTTTCGCGAACGTTTTGAATTTGTGGTTTTGGTCGCTAAACTCCTTGTTTTCTTCTGTTGTGTGTTCCTTTGGGTCACTCTTTTGTCTCATTCCAGTTGATAATACAGACTTCAACTTCAACGTAATTTAAGAACAACTTGTAAATTTGGCTAAAATTCCCCGAGGATTTCCGTGCTGCACGTTGTAGTTTTACCTCTTTAGGGAGCTTTGCAGTACGCATTGTCAACCCATTAACACTTTCAGAGCAATAACATTTGAAACATTCCTTTGCTGTATTTTTTTCGGATTTTTTAAAACTCAGGGCTGTCTGTCAAGGTGGTCCTTAACTTATGTTGAAGTCTGTGTATCTCTACCCTGGAAGAACACACTTCTATCTGCTCAGAACAGAGTTTTGAGAAATTTGACGTAAAAAAAAAATGACTTTCACAACATGACAAGCTTTTTAAAAAATGTAACTCTTTGATTATCTTGATAATAGCTCCGAATGATCTTACGATTTTGATAGAGCAGATAGAACAATAATTGCTTTCTGGCTTTGTGGTCTTCGTAACTCAAAACGGCCAAAAATGTCAGAACGTATTGTTATTCGAAGTAGCGATATGATGAGAACAGTGAACAGCCCTTCAGCAGTAATAATTGACGCTATTCCTCCTCATCATCAGTGTCTTCCCTGGCAGAGTATAGGCCACATAAAATCCTTCCATTTATCTCTGTCCTGGGCCATCCTTCCAAGCTCTTTCCAAGTGAGCTTCCTCTCTCTCATGTTCCTTTCCGCTCATCTCCTCCATGTTTCCCGTGGCCTACCCCTGCCGTGTGCTCCCTGTGGGTTCCACTACAGTGACTGTCTTGAGATGTTTCTGCTGGGCTTTCTGAGGGTGTGTCCCATCCATCGCCACTTTCTTAGTCCTATTTCTACTTCTATATCCTTTTGTCCTGTCCTTTCCTACAGCTCTTCATTTCTTATTCTATCCTGTCACTTAATTCTTAGGATACTGCTGCTTTTTCTGTCCTCATCCTTACTAAAATATATGTATGTTTGTCACTCTCTTGTGAACTGCTATTTCCGGGGTTTCTTGATAGTCGAAGCCTATGATTATAAATATTTACGGTCTGTTGAGGCTAGAGAGGTGAGCAGAGTAAGCCCGATTCCCAGTTTGGACTTCACTGTTGACATCCACCCCTTTGCGCTCATATGACCTTAAGCTGTTGCAAGCGCCTTAAAACAGCGAAACTAAAAGAAAGTGTACTGAGCACTTTCTTATAGGAAACGGGACGAATTATCGTCATAATTATTATCACTATTAGACCTATTAGGCCTATCGTCATCTTCATCATTAGCATTGTCATTGTTACTACTACTACTACTACTACTACTACTACTACTACTACTACTACTACTACTACTACTACTATTATTATTATTATTATTATTATTATTATTATTATTATTATTATTATTATTATTATTATTATTATTATTATTATTGTTATTATTATCTTTATTATTATTAATATTATTATTATTATTATTATTATTATTATTATTATTATTATTATTATTATTATTATTATTTTACTATTTTTTAAAAAATTATTGTTATTATTAATATTATTTAAAATTATTATTATTGTTATTATTATTATTATCATCATCATTATTAGGGCCTATTATTATTATTGTTGTTGTTGTTAGGCTTTTCTTTCGACTTCGTCGAGCTCTATAAAATTTGTGTCATGGGGTTATTACCAGTATCATCTTAAAGCCTGTTCATTTGCCTTCCTTTTGGTGAAAAAAATATTCATCTATGTTGACAAAAAGTCGAGGTATCTGCGATTGAAGGAGGTGGGGCTGCTTGGTTTCAGAGGTAAAATTAGTAATTAGCCAGTCTGTGGAAAGTGCAAATGTACACTTTTTTGTGCCTTTAATCAAGGTTGTTGTTTTTTAAAAGAAAAATTCACACAGAAATGTGTTCTTAAATGGATATGACAGATGTTAAGTTAAAAAACAAAAAATCGATACAAATTCACAAACCTGTGGGAAAATTGCAGTTTCTTCACTTCGATTATTTTGACGAGTGCCTGATTTCACCATTCTGCCTGACATTTTCGTCTGGTCTCCAGTCATGGGACGCAACTCTTCTAAGAATAAAAATGTGAAAGTTTTCCTGGATCATTCCCCATGATACCATCAGAACTCATCGTTGAAAAAGGTAAGAAAATAGTATTCTCTGATTTTCTACCTCCGGAAGAAAAATAATAATCGGACTTCATCAACAACGATCACCGTCAATCAATCACACCTCTATCGAAACGAACAACTGTCATGCGCTTCCTTGTTGTGGAGTGAAATCTAATTCGGACCCGACAAGTGAGTATACACTTGGTTTAATACCTATTGTAGATTTCTAGAATCTAGATTCTAGATCTAGATTTATAGCTAAAAATAAGAATTTAATAAGAAGTTAAAAGCCCTCTTCTCAACTTTATAAACTGAAAGGAAGTGAAGACGGTCTTCTTCCGAGTTGATTCGAAAGGAACTTCTGCTAAACTTCTTTTCGGGGGGGGGGGGGGGGGGGGAGTTTGAGATGAATGAGTCATTAGATAAAAACGTTTTTGTTCTGTCAGTACACTCATAGATCTAATATGTTGCTGCAATGCCAATGGATGATAAAATGAACACTTTCCATCTTTTGAGGAATTTCCATCTGGACTGGAAATCAATGAAGTGAAATTCATCTCTCACAGTCACAATCACAATGCATGCATAGATTATAGATATAATCTAGATCTAGATTATCTAGATCTATAGAATCTAGATCTAGATTCTATATCTATGAGATGATACTGAAACTGAATTTAAAGAATATTTCTTCTCATCTTGTTACTTTGATCTGGTCGAGACAGAAAGTGACATCATGCCCTAAAATCAAATCACCAACAGTGACAGTGCGCCCACACTGGCCACAATATAGATCTAGGCCTTGATCTAGATCTAGATCTAGATTCTAGATCTTAATATAGCCATTCTCTTTCGAATCTACTCAGGGGCAAATCTTGGACCATCTTCACTAACTGTTCCGTTTATTGAAGTTGAGAAGTGACCATACACAAATGCACACACATACACACACACCTAGTTTTGTTCAGCCTAATTTCTTCAATAAGAGAACCAAAATGACTGTTTCGAAAGTTTAGGAGGGCCTACTGTTAATTAAAAAATAATTTGGATCATCATGTCAAAAAAAGGAACAAGTTTACACTAAGTTACCCTCATGACTCCCAGCAATAAAAGTTAGTGTGTGCTCATGCGGCTGAATGTAGAACGACACACCAGCCTGATTGGCTGCTAATTTTAGTATGTGCTCTCATCAAATTGATGTCATCACATCCTGGGGTACCCACAGACTATTTTTAGAAGACCGTGGAGACATAGAGAGGTACGACCTTTGGTGGAGATACCACGTGGAACAACATGTTGGGTCAGTGGCTGGACGTATTTTCCGTATCGATGTGTTTCACCCGTTTAAATTTCACATTTGTGGCTAACTGCAGCCCGTCAGACATGCTCTGATTGGTTACAAGGTTTCCAGTGTACCTAGATATGTTTAACGTTTCTGAATTCCGGTACTTGGACATGATGAAGATCTCTTAGATCATTGATGCTCAGAACAGTACAGTAAGAACGCTGATGCTTGAAATTGAAACACGTTAAAACGCAAAGACGATAAAGCGCGCGAAAATTGCCGTAAAGACACCGGAAGATCCCCCCCTCCATATAAACAATGGGCAGAAGACATAAAAAGCAGCAGCAGCATCGGAGCACCGCATCATATCACACTTTACACCTGTATTCCTTGAAAAAACATCGCAGCAAAGCGTCGTGCCATCAAAGGTCATATGTAGTAGAGAATCTTTGGTGCCATGCGATTGGGTATATTTAGATGTAGTCACGTGATCGGAGGGGTATCGGTCTGACGTCACACAAGATGATGGCCGCCTCACCTAAAAATAGTTTGCGTCGTTCTACGTTTAGTCGCATCATGTGTGTGTGCCAATGGCCAATGCATGATTTTTGTTGGGGACAGAAATTGCAACCCAGACCCAAGGAACCCACCCCCAGCTCCCCTCTCAATAAAATCAAATTTTGAGCCACTAACTCCCTAAAGGCCCACTCTTCAATGTATACCATCCCCCCTTCCCACGCCTCCTCCCTAATTACAAACCACCACTCTCCCATTTCCCAGTGTCTACAGTCGAACCTGCCAAGACGACCTCCCGTGCAAATGGACACTTTCCGTTTCTCCTATTGTTTGCTTTTTCTAGCATCTGGTAAAGCAATTTGAATTAGCCTGTCTCGCCTCCATGGCCACGGAGTCTAGATTTTATCGACCAACACACCAAAGGGCTTGAAAATCTCTCTTCATTGCTAAGCAGTCATAAAATTATGATAAAATCCATTCGCCTGTCATTGTTTGTTGTGGGGTGGTCGTTCAAACAAAAGAACAGATCTCGTCAAATTGCAGTCGCAAGTTTAGCAATGGCTGTGATGCTGAGGAGAAAGAAACGGCAGAATTTCTGAAGAAGAAATTTCTGATGGCTAGATCTTCCAGGCCTATAATTCCCTTGAGCTGTGAGGAACATGATGAGTTTCCCAAAGTAGAACAATTTTAGACTAGAGTGAAATGGATTGGACCCTCAGAGTAGATCAACTTAAGAGTGTAAATGGATTGGATCCCTGCGTCAAAAAACTTTTCTTGTTTCTACTGTCTTCAGCTCCTTTCTTCTGAGCTGGTGACAACGGTGTGTTCTTCCGGTTTTTGTAGTCCGGCATAACTGTGCTGATCTCCCTCACAGTGGCATGTTTACATATTTTATTGTTATAAATTCCCCCGCTCCCTCCACTACCCCACATGCTTTTTAATTCAGGTCATTAGGGTCTCTAAATTAGTAACTTATCTAAGACAAAACCTCCTTTCCAAGTCCATTCTTTCTCCGACTCTCAAGCTTGTTACCTCCATTGACTGGTACAGTTTTTGTATGGCACCATGAGTACAAAACATTGCGCTGCTGAATTCCGGTCAAGAGGACTGACATCCAAATATGAGGCAGCGTGGTGAAATCAGACGCTCATCTCAATAAAATGAGTGAAGAAAAACTGGCTTTTTTCCGCAGGTTTGGAAATTTTAACCGAATTTTTGTTTTTACGGCTCAACACCTTTTATGTCCTAACAGTGTGGATTTTACTGAAAAACGTTGATTAAATGCATAAAAGGTGTAAATTTCTGGTTTCCGCGAGCTCTCATTGATCTCAAGCTAAGGAAATAACTAAGCTTTGGCAGCCGTTTTCTCACTAATTTTACCTCTGAAACCAGGCAACTCCACCTCCTTCAATCGCAAATATCTCGACTTGTATCCAAGATAAATGGATATTTTTCATTAAAAGCAAGGCGAATAGACAGGCTTTAAGGTGATACCAATTTACCCTGTATGTCGAAAAATTGACGAGCGCCTGATTCCACCTCGTCGTGACACAAATAATGTGATTATCTCAACTGGTAAATTTAATGGAGTCTGCTTAAATGAAATCTTCGACACCACCAGGTTGTTGTCTAAGGTTTAGCTGGGTTTTCAGTTTAGATAGAGGTCGCTGAAATAGAAACCGAAATTCGGGGATTTAACTTTCTTTTGGCTTACGGCTGTCCACTGTATAAATATAAATGTGTGATCTCTTTGATTTCCATCCATCCAACTTCTTTTTTTTTACTTGGAAGCAGACTATGTGCTGTTGAAGTTAAAGAGGTGAGCAGAGTAAGCCTGATTCCTCGTTTGGACTTCTCTGTTGACATTCACCCCTTGGCGCTCAAATGACCTCAAGCAGTTGCGAGTACCGTAAAACCTTACTAAAACCAAACTAACACCTTTTTTTATCCTCCAGTGTTCAATTCCATGTTTGGGAGGCTGACTGGAAATAGCAGCGCTCCTAAAGAAACAGAAGAGGAAAAGTCCAAGGTGTTTGAAGAAAACTTCATTGAGCTAAAGTCACGGTGCAATGTAAGTAAAACCATTTACTCGGAAGGATTTCCGTAACGAGCGACCACCCCAACAAATACAATGTAGAAAAGACCTAACCCTAACCCTTAACCCAAACCCTTACCCTACCCCTAGCCCTTTTTTCTACTCTGCGGTCGCTCGTTATGGAAGTCCTCCCATTTACGGTCTTTTGTGGAAAGAGAACCTTTGTCCTGGAATGGAATTGCTGGATAGTCTTGAGAGCTGCACTGTTGTATTGTTTGTTTGTTTTTTCTAAAACTACTTCTTTGGTCATGCCTGCTTCACTGAAAGAAAAGAAAAGTGAAAATTGTCGCTTGAATATAATTTCTGAACAAGTCAGTTTGTGCTTATAAGAAGAAATTGATTTGAATATATAAAGCCCCTTCATATCTATCTGAGCTTTTAACACTGTATGTTCCATCTCGTCGGTTACGGTCATCCACAGACGCAACAAAATTCAGAGCCCCCAAGAATGAAATAACAATCTTTTGGTGAGAAAAGTTTCTCATTTTTTGGCCCTTAAATCTGGAACACCTTGCCCCAGGATCTCAGAGAAATAACAAATTTTGCTACGTTTAAGCGATTGCTCATCATGACTCCTTGGTTTAATTTTTAGAGTTATAGTGTGTTAGTCAGTGCTGATATGTTGGGTTATTTTATTGCTGTCCTTTCAATTAATGTATGGTTGTGAAAATTCTTCTTTATGTCGTTGAACTGGTTTTTCTTGTTTTTGTGAAATATTTTCTCTTTTGTGAATGATTATGGGAATGATGTCAAGCTCTCAGAGCTTTTATACTAGTGTGGGATAGAGCGCTATATATAAATGC